GACACCTTATTAACACGAAGCACGTGTTCTTTGCGAAAAGACAAATCTTATCCTGTAAGCCATTTTTCCACCAAGAGGGCAATTTAAAATATCATTTCAACCCAGGCTTCTATGTCTATAAAGAAAGACTCTCGTGTTTCTTGTCGGTTAGATCATCAACGGTCTTTTTTCACTAAAACTTGATATAATGGTTTTCCTCGACAATGGCCGGGTGTTGGAGAGGAAATTCTTCATTCGTGAGAAGAGCTTCAGAGTTCATGGACACATACCATCGAAGAAGCATTGGCCTTAAAACAAAAGGTGGGATTCTAACTTACCAAGTAGCTTAATTTTGGCTGGGTTTGCTTTTAGTTGGCCAAAGAAAGGTTCTCACGAAAGTATGTCCAACATCAATTAAAATAAATGACTTTGTCAATTAGATTTAAAAAATTGAAATCTTTCAATCTTACCGCTTCAAATCTACTTCAGTTCTTATAGATGCTTCTGCCATTTTTAATTACATCTTTAATTTATATCAATTATTCTTCATAATAATATTCACCCAATACAGTGCAGAAGAATCACCCAAGATAGAAGCTTACTGAATGCGCTGTGTTGTAAGTGAAGATTGTGTGATTGTGGAAGATAGATAACTATTGACCCAAATGTTGAAGAGGTTAAGATCGTTGTGTTAGGGGAAGTATACACGTGGGAGAGTGTTCCACAAAATAGCTATTCTTGGCAAGAAGCCGTCTGAGTAGAAAATTCCTCCTTACCAATTCAGTACGTAGGGCTGAGGCTTATTTGCTTGGGCCTGTAGACGTAGCAAGGTGGTAATGGTCTGAACTGGTGGCACTAAAGAATCGAGTTTTAGTATTTGCAAAAGAATTTAGTGATAGTGTAGCAATAGGTCTGCGACGATGCGTTGGAGGAAAAGGACCGAAAGGGAGAGAATCAGTCACTTCAGCCACAAGATGCCACTATTCAATCAACAAAACATCGCTGTTTATTCAACACAGCTACTATCTTCATGCTAATTTATTTTAAAAAAATAAAAATGGATATGATTTTGTAAAAAAATATACAAAAAATTGAGAAAAAAAACGAAGTTAGTTGGTAGAAGCGAGCAAAACAAAATTATACAAAATGTGCTAACCGGTTATCCCTCCACACCCCTCAGAACTCGACCGATAAAAGTAAAGTTTTCTGCACAATGACTAAAAAAAAAAATATGAAGCATGAAGAAGAAAGTACACGTGTATGCAATATATACCGAGATGTGTATATTTTTTTTAATTTTTTATAAGTAAATCACATCTCCGAGAGTGGGATGACAATTTGAGTGATGCTAAAGCTGTTAAATATTGCATACATTAATTTCAACTCTTCTTATTAATAATTGCATTGTTTATTACCAGGTAAACTTATATTTGATTGTTCAAAGACGACTTCAACCTATCTAGAAGCGACTTCTCTTGAAAATAGACAGAATTTGGGATCATTGCAGAAAAGGTGTTTATCCCCCAACGATATTCTTCCTGACATGGTTGCTACATGAGGGGATGACCCTCCATCGCTATCAAATGGAGCAACTGAATTTAGGAGAGGAAGTCTTGTAGATGACTCAAGGTCTGTACTTCCTGCAACTGTTACTATTAAGGAAAAAATTGATCGTGTTCACCACATGACGAATGATTATTAATGAAATAGCCAATGCTATTAACATATCCCGTGAGAGAGTTGAGAATATTCTGCACATGAACTTTGCATGACGAAAGTTACTGCTAGGTAGGTGCCACGTCTTCTGACACCTGATCAAGGGTACACCAAGCTGATCACATCACAGGAACATCTGACGTTGCTTGAGGCAGATCTATTTGGTTCCCTTGAAGGTTTCCTAACCCATGATGAGTGTTGCGTTCATCAATTTGACCCAGAAACAAAGAGACAATCCATGCAGTAGAAACACGACTCCCCACTTGCTCCAAAGAAGGCCATGGACCTTCTCCCTTAAATTCAGCTGCCCACTTTTGCACTATTGATTAAGATGGGGCGTCGGCCTCTAATGTAGCAACTATGTCATTTCTATATGTATTTGATAATGACATGATGCCAAATTTTGTCCATTTTCAAGAGAAATCGCTAATCGTTACATTAGAATTATTTGAACAGTCACGTATTAGTTTACCTGTAAAATAAACAATGCAGTTTTCATAAGAATAGCCGAAATTAATGGATGCAAGATTTTCAGCCTATGAACCGTTCAGCCGACCCTCGTAATTCCCAAAACGCTACATTGTGCTTGAATTAAGAAGGTTGTCATGGTTTAAAGAGAATAGTTTCAAGGACTTTTAAATGATAGCTATAATCTAACCTGCATAGAACTTAGAACATATCGTCTTCAAAGGGCGATACACACTCAAGATTTTGTTTTTTGTGTTGTGCGATTGCAGACCTGATTGTGACGGCACCATTTCTATCATTACAAAAGAGCGATTCTGGTTTTTATTCCATACATTTTTCTCTATCTTGAAATTGGATCAAATGACCTGGTGGGACGTCGTTCTTGAAGCAAACAACGGATTGTATGAACGCGAAGGATCAGGGGAATATTCCATGGTAGAAAAACCTATTTATTTCAACACCGTGTCCGTTTGTAACGAGAAAATTGTTCGAAAATAATTATTCGAAAACAATTCTTTGAAAAAACATTTTTTTGAATTGTAAATTTTTCAAATGGAAATTAATTAAAAGGACAATGATGCTAAATCATAATTATTCAAAATATCTATGTTTGAAATACGTATGTGGTCTTGCTCTGAGAGCTCAATGCTGAATTACCTAGAATTAATAACGAAGGAGGCATGGGGCTTTTTCACAGAAAGTGCCATCCTATCATCCCACATTGGAAATTCTTAGACGCTCTTAATAAAAGAGAAGAGGATTTGAAAAAAAATCATATTACAAAAGTAAGAGCAGGTTGCCAAAATATCAAGAGTGCCAAGAAATACCGTGACGAAAATGGAAAACTTAAAAAATCAGTGACATCCTTTAACGAGTATTCTTCAGTAGTTGATTATTTGTGTACAGTATCAGATAACTTATAAGTTATAAGGATTTTTTTCTTACTAAATTGTTTTGTTAACGATAAATGTATTACGAATAATTATAATTTCTGTATTTCCTTTTTTAATTTTTACATTTTTATTGCAATAAAGAATTTCGCGTTTTGAATAATTATAATTTAGTATAATTTTCCTTTCGATTAATTTTCATTCAAACAATTTACAATTCGAATAAATGTTTTTCAAATAATTCTTTTGGAATACAGTATTTTCCGGATTGCAAGACGCACTTTTTTTCCTAAAACATACCCTGAAAAATACGTTTGCGTCTTCGAATTTAAGGTAACGCCCAGGCTCAAGTAAGCTTGAACAACCACCTAATTGGTTTGACTAATAGGGACGTGGACTGGTATGTTGAGTCATTACACTTTAATGTTAGCAATCTAATTCAGATTTTTATATGAAGTAACCTCAGTACTTAGCTGTTACAAACATTTCTAAGTCTATAAACCTTGCTGGAGCCGAGCCACAACCTTAAACATTCTCTGTTTACTAGCAGCTGCGGGAGCCTTTCTGCTTTTGATCTTGATCTTGGTGTAGATTTTGCTCCCTGTCGTGAAAATATCAGTTACCACCAGGCTATCACACGAGTCACAAACTGTTTTTTTTTGTCCTGGAAATTAATTTTTACATTTTTATTACAATGAAGAATTTTGCATTTCGAATAATTATCATTTAGTATAATTGTCCTTTCGATTAAGTTTCATTCAAACTATTTACAATTCGAATAATTTTTTTTTTCATAATTGTTTTTGAATAATTATTTTCGGACAATGTCCACATAATCTTTTTAAACTAATGTCGGTAGCAACGACTCTTTCCTGTTACAAACAGAATTGGCTTCTGGAATAAAGAACATTCAACTTAGTATACGAACCATCTGCTCTTCAACTAGTTCTCACAAAGGACGTACGAGGCCACAATGAAATAAAGGCTGCCCAATGAATACCTTATTAATACGAAGCACCATTCTATGCGAAATTACAAATCTCACCCTGTAAGCCATTTTTCCACCATGAGGGCAAATTCAAAATATCATTTCAACCCAGCTTCCTGTGCCTATAAAGAATGATACTCGTGTTTCTTGTCGGTTAGATCATCAATGGTCTTTTTTCACTAAAACTTGATAGAATGGTTTTCCTCGACAATGGTGTCGGAGAGGAAATTCTTGACTAGTGAGAAGACCTTCAGCGTTCATGGAAACTTACCATGGAAGATTCATTGTCATTAGGACAAAAGGTGGGACTCTAACTTATAAAGTAGCTTAATTTTGGATGGGTTTCTCTTTTAGTTGGTCAAAGAAAGGTTCTCATGCTAGAAGGTCCAATATCAACTAAAATAGATAACCTTGTCAATTAGATCTGGAAAATATGAAATCTTTCGATGTTTTACCGTGACAAATCTATTGGTGGACGTATAAAAGAGGCGATTTCAGCAGCGAAAACGTGCCTCGAAACCCCTTAATGCCAGCAAAGACTCGAGAAAACGATAGCCAGCCTTATTGGATGTCTTGGACTGATCCCAATTGATCAATTTAGATTCAGTAACGACTTTTTCTACCATCAAATGTACTAAACGAAGACCGTGCTGAATAGTCCTGCTCTTCATTTCACGTCTGTCCGCCATGATTCAGGTTGAAATCGCTATTCATGCTGCCATATTGATTAAATGAGATTGTTTTGTAATCACTATGAAAATTGCAAATGGCTACCGTGGAAATTACACAAGGTCGTTGAATTTGTTTACGGCGAGGAATGAACTTTTCAGTCTTCTATTTATTCTATTTCTTTTTCATAGTGATCCTTTTTTTTCTTTCCTTCGTTTTTTATTCATTTTCTTTCTTTCTTTCTTTCTTTCTTTCTTTCTTTCTTTTGAATTACCATCTCCTTAGCATCTATGTCTTTTTCTTGTTTCTTTTTGACAATAGCTCTTTTTCTTTCTGTCCTCCTCTATTTTTCTCACTCATGGCTTCTTTCTTTCTTTCTTTTTACTTCCTTTCTTTCTTTTGAATTAATATCTCCTCATCCTCCATTACTTTTTGGCTTCTTTTTCCCAGTAATCCTTTTCTTTCTATCATCCTCTCTTTTTTTCATTGCTTCTCTTTTGCTATTCTTTCTTTCCTTCATTTTTTCAGTCTTTCTTTCTTTCTTTCTTTCTTTCTTTCTTTCTTTCTTTCTTTCTTTCTTTCTTTTGAATTAATATCTCCTTACCGTCTATGTCTTTTTGTTTGTTTTTGTTAGTAGCTCTTTTTCTTTCTGTCCTCCTCTATTTTTCTAACTCATGGCTTCTTTCTTTCTTTCTTTCTTTTTACTTCCTTTCTTTCTTTTGAATTACCATCTCCTCATCCTCTGTTACTTTTTTGTTTCTTTTTCCCAGTAATCCTTTTCTTTCTATCATCTTCTCTTTTTTTTCTCTTTCATTGTTTCTCTTTTGTTATTATTTCTTTCTTTCTTCCTTCCTTTCTTTCTTCCTTTCTTTTTCTTTTCTTTCTTTCTTTCTTTATTTCAAATACCATCTCCTCATCCTCTATTACTTTTTCTTGTTTCTTTTTGTCAGTAGTCTTTTTCCTTCTCTCATCCTCTATTTCTACTCTTTCATTGCTTCTCTATCGCTATTGTTTCTTTCTTTCTTCTTCTTTTCCCCCTGATTCTCCGTCTCTTTCTCATTCACGCTTTTCTGTATTCTTCTTTTATGTGCCGTGTCCATTCAGACGATCATGGCTCTCCACTTCTCCCTACTCCTTGTATATCTCAATAAGTTTCATCTCTCTCCCACCTCCCACAGACTACGTTCTGTCATCCACTTGCTTAAGCCCACTAGGTATGACATGCATTGCTTTCCCTTATCCCACTTTCCCTCTATTCGATCTGTGAGTATCAGATTCTCCAGACCCTCTTTTCTCATGACGGGTCCCGGAAACTTCAGCTGACTCTTCCTGATGTTTAATATAAGCTTCCTCCTTGCTTGCATCCTCTCAAAAACCTCATCGTTGCTTTCTCTTCTAATGTCATTCCCAATTTTTACGCATTTTGTTTTGCTTTTGTTTGAAATTTTTTAAACGAAAGACACTTTTTTCAACTCCGCGTGCAATAGTCATAGCTGAATGTTGACTTTCTTTCCATAAAACTGACAACCTTTTCAATACTTTTCAGTTTCAGTCCAGGTTTCATCGCAGTCATGCACCTCGTCGCCATCTTGTTGCAGATGTGTCTCGTTGTCATCCTTTCCTCTTATTTCCATCATCTTTTGCACCAATAAAAGCCATTAGGGTGAAATAAGCAGAAGCAATTATCCAAAGTAAAATTACTGAGAAACAAAAATTTCAAATCAGTTGCATATCAACCAAATAGTTCAAATATTCTCATCAAACTTATGTCCGGATGTGAAGGATTCCGGATATCAAGGATTCCGGATATATGGGATCCTACTGTACTTCTCTTTTCTATACTACTTTTAATCTTCTTTCCTTACCCTCCTATCTTACTACTATGCCTCCTCCTCCTTCCTGTTCTTCCTCCTACTTCGCATTTCTATTCTTTTTCTAGTCCCCACTCTCTATAATAACTATCCGCCTCCTAGTCTTTCTCCTCCTTTCATCATATTCTTCCACCCTATCCTCCTCCTCTCTTTTCCTTTTCTTCTCCTTTTCTTCTCCATCTTCCTTTTCAAATAACTTCTTGTCATCATCGCTTTGACGTGATATTCTTTACATTATTGTACGTTTAATGCATTTCTTATCAGTTTCGAGAAAAATAAATCACTGACCTGCTTTACGACATGCGTTCGTTTATTTTCATCAAAAAGTCAGACACTACAATGCAGTATTCATTTGGCCAAGGAAAGAAAAGCGAGGGAGAAGAAAAAGTGAAAAAAAAAGGGGGTCGGCTATAGAATAACATTTCATCGCACCGAATTCAAGCTTTAAAAAAGAATTCCTATCAAGCAATTTATTTCCAGTTTATATTTATATCCAAACTGCTCCAGTCGGCACAACGAAAAGAATCACATTTGCCCAGATTTCACCGATGATCGAATTTGACTTCTCAGTTACTCAAGTCTTGGTCACTTCTCGTGCCCGCTTTAAAACACACACACACACACACACACACACACACACACATATATATATATATATATATATATAAAGAAATATAGTCTTAAGGTGTGCTATATTTATGGGATAAAGTGCTCACTATCAGAGATAGAGCGGGTGTAAATATAAAAGTGAACATTGAAGTCAACACTTAGAGGCGACAGGCTGTTTCATGCTAGACGCAATCGCCAGGCCACGAGTGTAAATAAAAATGTACAGTATAATAAATAAATAAATAATAAAAACAAGCAAAATAAATTAATCTAAATTAATTCAGGTAAATAAATAAATAAACAAAATGCTCCCGATAAATTAACCGTCAGAAAAAAAAACAAGTAAAGATAATCCATCTAAATAAATAAATGAAGTAATAAACAAATTAAAAACTGTTCCCGCCAAAATAATAGTTTGAATAAACTACGGCAACCAACCCCAAAATTGTATAAATAGCTTTAATTATCTTCCCAAACCAAAACAAAACCATAAAATCAGCGATATAAACAGAGTTTACTAAGTTAATAAGACACTGATTAAAATAAAAATAAATAAGTAAATATATAAGATAAGAAATAAAAAATAAAAATAAAACGAAAAAAAAAGCAAAATAAATTAACCCAAATAAATTAATAAACAAATAAATGACTTCCGGCAAAATAACCCGTAATATAGACTACCCACAATGCACCACTGACCCGTATATATAAATAGCTGAGGTAAAAAAAAAAAAACACTCCTGGCCTGACGATTGCGTCTAGAAACAGTTTGTCGCCTCTAAGCGTTGACTTCAATGTTCTTATATATATATATATATATGTTCATTACATTAGTTGAATGGCTTGCTTCGGCAATTAGTTAGAGATTCGTCTCCAGCTGTGCTGGTTGAACTCCCTGCCAGCTGAGGCAGTGTCGAGGGGCAGAGTCCTGTCTGGGGTGGTAGACAGTTACCCGACTCTGTGTATACGGGGTCTAAGGGGAATTTTTACCCGAGTCTACGAGCTCGGTTTTTTCCCGCATTAAAAAACGGCCTTGTGCCATATCCTGCTTCGCGGGGAAGTAAGGTAAATAACATTGCATTAGTTGAGTTTAACTAAAATATTTTTGTATCTGTATAGAATAATATGATATACCTTTATTCTCAGGCACGCCCGTATGAAATCCCAATCCAGACTAAAACCTTGTTTGTGATTTGCAAAACATTTGAAGAGACCTCAGATTATGAAATCTCCTAGGGTAGTTATCTAAATCTCTTTTAAAAATGCCTGTTCAAGACCATTTTCTGTTTCTTTAACACAGTGAACTCGTGGTTGCATCTTTTCTATTAATTCTCCCCGAATAATGTAAAGTTACTTATCGCAAATATTAATTCACCCCAAGAAATTATAAATTTTAAATCAAAGTTTGTTTCTTTTTTATTAAATTTTTAGCACTCTTTTGATATCATAAATTTTAAGTCAAAATTTGTTTAGCTTGCCTCGCAACAACTCCAACCCTCAGAATGGAAAATTTCCAAAAAGTCAGGTAGTTATTCATATTACGTTAGGGCAGATGATATGACAAGGAATGTTTTACGATTTGGAAAAAAGTCTGTTTTTTGGCTAGTTTATCGGCGTGAGCGCGAACGTAGACCACCACACTTAGAAACAGCGCAACTGAGTCGCCCACATTTAGGAGCGATCACAAAGATCTATCCAACAGGAGTGCAATGGAAGGGCATCGCTCTGAGAAAATTTGCAGTGAATTTTAGTAAATATAAATTATCTTTATTTTGGGGGTGAATTAATATTTGGGGATAAATTAACCAAAAAAAAAAGTGTTTTATACAGCAAGTGCCATGTTCAAATCTTGGAGTGTTTTGTTGTATTCACTTTCGCACAAATACACATGGAGAAGTCATGAATCTGTCTTCGGCCACCAGCTGTAGGCGAAATATCAGAATGTATTTTGTTATCTTGACTTGGATGGCAACACGTCTAAGAAAAGGAATATGGGATTCCAGACATTTTACTAAGCACTCCACTATCATTTCAAATAAAATAATGCAATTCACATATAACATGGGGAGTTTTCATGATCGCCTACGTCCTGGTGGAGCATGGAATCAGAACACATAAACTGGTGTGATCAACTGTTGAACAAGTACGCTCAAAATCTCGGTCACGATGACTGGTGACTTTGTGCTAGCACAAACATCGACGGCTGTGTTTGATTATATCTTGATTATGTTATTATTTTCTCTTCTAGTTAGAAGTCATATTCATTTCAGTTGTTGAAAGTTTTCAAGTGATATGGATTTTATTATTTCGTACAATTCATTGTGGTTTGGTAGCACAAGTCTGCGCAAAAGGAAGAAGGATAGTCCTCACTAAGACCTACAGGATTCATTCGTTCAAAGCCTTTGTTAATATTTGATCTGAGAAAGCGATTGAAGTTGACGGCTTGGATATTTCTGAACGAGTTTTGTGCCATGCAGGACATCCACATGACAGACTTGATCTGATGAAGTTATTTTACAACATGACTCCAGTCTTTACGTTAGCTTTTAGGATATGGGAAAAAGGAAACACTGTTCAAGGTAGGTGCCATACGCGAACATGTCTCTTTCGATCCATGACTGACGAGGTGAAACATTTCCCCGCAATAGCTCGTCATTTCTTTCTGCGGTAGACTAGTTGCCAAACAAGCCTATATAAACGTCTGTCTATTCAACCCATAGCTCGGGGGAGGGAGAAGAGCTGGAATCATTTTTCCCAAGGGTATTTGCGTATAAAGGAATGAAACGAACACGATTAGAACAATAAGGAAAGTGAAACTTACAATCAAAAACATAATGAGGAAATACGGTCTGGAGAATCTAATACTTACAGGACATATTGAAGAGAAGAGAATCGGAGTGTAAATAAACGTTTCACACCACTGCAAATGACCTAATCTGAGGAAAAAAAATAGAAATGGATTATAATATTTCACTCCAAAACGAGTTTGTGAGAATGAATGGCATAACAGCAATAAAAGGGCGAGAAAAAAAAAACTTTGAAAAAATGTTTTTTCAGAATCAAAAGGGAGGAAATATCTTTCTGAATTCCTTGGATGATGACTTATTATTTATACTACTTATATTCGAACTATTGTCCTCATCTTTGTTGTTGTTATCACAACGCTTCATATACTACGACCTTCTTCATGCTTATGTCGATTTGTAACCTACTGGGAATTATGAACTGAACCCTTTACTTATTCTACGGGGATAGTTCTCGTTCCACGGCTAATGTCTAGGAATATTGTCTCGTTCTAATTTTTATTTAGCAATGTTCGGTTATTGTTCACTCATTTCCACTAAGTGCAACTACACACTGCTTAACCCATGGATTGAACTCACAGCCACTATATTACCAAACTCACAAAGTAATGCTTTTATCCACTATAAACGTAGGACATTTTCCTGTAGTGAACTCAGATATTTAAACTTAACCTACCTGCTGATTAGACTGCAACTACTCCTGCAGTTGCTAACTGTCATGTTTTAACTGACGCTACTGCCCATGTCTTCATTGCTGCTGCTAGGTTGAAGCTTTGATGGCATTTCTCTTTCTTCGTGACAAACAGGGAAGTAATAACTTAACAATAGCAAATAAAAATAAGAACTAGACGATATTCTTAGAATTGAGCAGTGGAACGAGAACAGTCTACACCACTTAAATTAAATAAAGTGTTCAGTTCGTTTTTTCCTGTAGGTTATACAGTTCCTGAGGAAGGTCGGAGAGATCAACGACCGAAACGTTACTGGCATTATTTAAATTATCCTCATCTTCCTTGCCATATCCACAACGTTTCGAACGCTGTACATTCCGGCCCAGTGGATAAAGACGTTGGTTAGATCCATTGACTAGACCCACATAGTTGTGAGTTCAAAACCAGGCCACAGCAGTGGTGAACCAAAAATTGGCGAGTTGAATTAAAGGGAAATAACTGAGACATCTGGAAGAGACATGTAATACTGTGTACTTATGACATCAAGACTACAATGGCTTTTGTTCTGTTGGCATCATCACGGCTGACGTTAAACCCCAAAGAGTAATCCACTACGTCTTTTCCACTAACATGAATTGGAGTGACTATATCGAATTAATTGCATCGTCTAATGCAGTGTCGTGCCAGAATATTTTATCGTTAGAATCCATCTTTCACATTTACAAATTCAGCATTCGTTCGTTTATACTGTTGACATATCTGGTCTGGTGCTCCTGCTATACACTTGAAATTCTTGATAAAAGCCAAAGCAGGGTCTGCAATGTAATCGATTCTGACCCGGCATCTCGTCATAACTTGACTTCTCTCTGTCACACCGAGGTGACTTCGCTTCCCACTGTCTTTTCAGCAAAGCTTTTTCCACAAGTGCTCCGACTATATGAATTTAAGTGTGGTACTAGATTGGCATTTAGGTCCCACAATTAA